ATCAGCAGTGAATATTTAATGAGTCTTTCTCATGTACTGGGCTGGACTGGGTATTTGTGGAGCACAGTATGAAAACCTCATGCTCATCATCCTTCTTGGGTTTACAGAGCCAAAAGAGGCCACTCCATGTGCAGTGGTAACACTGAGCATTCTAGACATTCTTCTCATATTTAAATAAAAATATGTAAAAGCCTCAGAAAAGAAAGTTGTAGATTCTTACTGGAACTGAGATGGTATGACTGTAGTTCTTGGTTGTTTTATTTTCCTACTCAAATACCCTTGAGATGTGTCTTGTGCAAGTAAATCATAATCTATCTATCTATCTATCTATCTATCTATCTATCTATCTATCTATCTTTCCATATTTGCTAGTTGGATCATCAGGAAGGTGGATAACATTCACTGAAACAGTGTTTATTTTCTTTATGTTGTAATTTTAAAATTATATCTCATCAACTTCAATTTGTGCTGTCCATATACTTCTGGATATGCGGCCAGAAGGTGGTTGAACTACCAGGGGCCACATCCTTAAAGGAAACTAACTATTCCTCCCCCAGAAGACATCAACTGTGATAGACACTCAGTCCAGGGTGGAGGCTTGTGAACACTTTCCTCCTACACATTAGAATGTCCAGGCTTCATTGTACAGGTCTCATACAGGTACTGTGGAGTTGCTATGAGTTGCTATGAGCTTGAGATTGAGTCCTGACATGTATAGGTGACACTGTTTCTTTCTGTCCCAGTTCTTACAGTCTTTCTACCTCTTCTTTAGCAATGTTCCCTGAGCCTTGGGGAGTGAGTGTAGTATGGATGTTTCATTTGTGATTGAGCACACCACAGTCACTTATTCTCTGTACTTTGATCAGTTACGTGTTTCTTGGTTAACCTCTGTGCACTGCATAAAGAGACTTCTCTGATGAGATTTGAGAGCTCTATTGATTTTCAGGTAGAAAGGCAAGCTTGGAAGACAGTATGATGCTATGTCCATTTAACAAAATAATAATATTAAGTTCATTTCTGAGGCTTGTAAGGTGCTGTAATTTTTTTCCCTGTGCTAAAATTGAACCCAGATCCTTGGGCATGCTTGGCAAGCCCTCTACCCTTTAAGTATGTTGCTGGCTCTGGGCTGAGAAGCTATTGACTTTTTGATGTTGGTATCTTGCTGGATGGATCCTACCTTGATTTATTGCATTCATTTGCTCATCCTGGCTGTCTTGGGCTCAAAAATGATTTGTTGATTTGTTTAAACTGTACTTTTCCTACAGCTTAGCTGTTGCATATGTTTTTAAATGTTTGAATATTGATTATATAATTAAACACAAGGAAACACAACTATTGTCTAAGTATACTAGTGCCCAGAAAAATAGTGAGTGACATTGACACAATCATTTTGTTTCATTTTATTTTAGTTATTGATGTTGGGATCAAACTTCAGTCTTTATGCCTCTGAACTAAGGCTCCCAACTCTATTCACTTTCTTTATATGCAGTGTTTTAATTTAGTGCTACTTAGTGGCACATGTTTGATTTTCATATTGTAGAATTTTAGAGGTTAAACAGGGATTTATTTATTTATATGTTCATTTTTTGAGACAGGGTCTCAGTATGCACCCATTATATAATCACACTCTTCTTGTGTCAGCTTCCTAGTGTGCCACATGTCTGTCCTTGAATCAAGCCTGCTTGCCTCCCCTCTTTCCTCCCTCTCTTCTTCCTACTCTATTCTTTTCCCCTGTCTTATCCATGTTTCTCTCTTTACTTCCTCTTTTCCTTCTCTTTTTCTTTGTTTCTATTATTTTTTCAGCCATTTCTTTATTTACAGTTTGTGTTCAATGCAAATCAATTCCATAACATGAGAATTTACTATGAATCAAAGCATAAATACACAAACACAATATACAGTCAAATAGATGTACAGCATTCAGGTAGGAGGTGAGAGGAATGTTCATTCACACACACAGTAGCTTCGGATCTGAGGTCTCCTTGTTCCCAGGTGGGTTTCTAAAGATGGAGAAAGTGACTCTGGTTATCAAGACTACTGTGGCCATATTAGATCCCAGAATGTGTAAGCATCAGTGTGTGACCACGTGAACAAAAGATTTTTTTCATGGAATGTCTATGTTATAGAAGGTATGTGTATATGAAGGCTGTTGGAAAAACTTAACTGTAGAACCAAACCCCCTTTCAGGCACAGGACCAATGTCAAACTATCTAAAAATATGAACTGATAACCAAAGTATTCCAAATGTGGCTATTCTGATCCATTGTTTTGTTTTTCTCTTTTTTAAAAAAAAGTATTTACAGAAATTGTATATAAGACTTTGTGAATTCAATGACGTCCAGTCTTCATGTCCCAAATATTAGGTTTATGGTTTTGGCTCCTTTGCATATTTGCCTTTAGGATTTGAAGATTCATAATTTTACCTTCCTAACAGACCACACCTTAAATCATGAAAACCCCTCAGCATATGCAGAAATAAAAAGCAGCAACTGAAATTGGCTGATGTCAATGTAATTCTGCTGATGGAATCAGTTAAGTGAACCTGGCACTCTTGTTAAGTGAAAAAAGATGATGGAAAATGCCTACTATTTGACTTTTGAAATAAGATTTATTCAATGATGGCTGGATTTGGGGGTCAATTCCAATACATAGTTGCCTGGCACATGCCAATTACTAATAAAGGTCAAATATAAGTTGAACTTAAAGCCACAGAAGGAGGGGGTAAAATGTTAATTTTCAAAGAGAACAGCTCAACAATGTGGAGCTTTACCTAGAGTTTAGCATATTAAATTAGTAGTAATGAAACAATACATTGAGGATTTAAAGTAACACCTGGTAGTTCCTTCCAACATATACATAAATAACATCAGAGAAACCTTTAATGTCACCTAGCTGTGTTATGGCTTCACAGGCAATGAGCCAATGAAAACTGAATTTTCATCCCACATTCCATCCTCATTTCTACATAAAACCTATGCTTGATTTCAAGATAGACCAGGTGTCCGCATTTCCTAAGCCTCGTTCAAGGCACTCACGTCAACGTTGGATGTTATCACTTCATCTTGAACATAAAACTCCAGCGGATTCAATATTGGCATTCATCATCTGTCATACCCTTCACATGAATTTTCAAAGTTTTCTGTTGAGGTGTAGTAGATTTGATGTGGACCTGTTTCTTCCGGGTCACACTGGACTTGTGGTTACCATTTGGGCTGGGTCTAGAAGATGGGGAAGTAGAGATGTTTCTTGGACTGAGTCTCTAACAGTAGAAATATACATGAGAAAGTGAGATGGCGAGGAGACCAGCTGTTGACTGCAGGGCACTGCCACCTGCTCTGGTGGTGGTATTAGATGGATTTGGGGCAGTAGAGATACTCTGGTTACTTGAAAATGGTGCAACAGATGTTTGGTTGCAATAAATCTGCGTGGGTAGGAGTAGTGCCAGAAGCAGCAACCTCAGCCCCCGTCTGACCACCACAGCTCTGCCCATGTCCGCTCCGTCGGTGCACAGCGCGACTCTCTGGATGCTCAGTGCGTGGAGATCTGCTCGGCTTGCGCGGACGCAGGCAAGGTCTGTTTCTATTATTTTTTTTTGAAACAGGGTTTCACTATGTGTCCCTAACTGGGCTGGAATTCACTATGTAGACAAAGCTGGCTTTGACTCACGGAGACCCACTGCTTCTGCCACCCAAATGCTGAGATTAAATGTATATATACTATGCTGGGCTCTCTCTCTCTGATAGGGTCTCATGCATCCCAACCTGGGCTTGAAACACTTTGTGAACTGGGATGACCTTGAACTATTTGGATTCTTGTTGTCATCTCTCAAGTCCTGGAATTTTAGGTGTGCACCACCAAGCTTGGCTAGAAGAATTTTGTTTCTTAAATGGCAAGTACACATTCTGGAGTATTTGTCTATTGTTATTCTTTATATTTTACATATTGTCTTTTGCTGTGAGAAAACACCATGACCAAGGTGACTTAGAAAAGAATTTAATCTGGCTTACAGTTTCAGAGGGTTAGAGTCTGTGATGCTAGATAACAGGAATCTGAGCGCTCACCTCTCGATTCACAACCATGAAACAGAGAGCTGCCTAGAAATCATATGGGCTTTTCAAACCTCCAAGTCTCCCCCCACCCTGTGACAGTCTTATCCAACAAGGCCACACCTCCTAATTCTTCCTAAACACTTCCACAAACTGGGGACCAAGCATTCAAATATATTAGTTTACTGGGGTCTTTAAATGAGTATACACATTTTATTTTATTATTTAATATGTCCTTTCTATTTGTTTACTTTCATTTTATGTGTATTTGCCTGCAAGTATGTATATGTACCACATGAATGCCTAGTATCCATGGAGGCTAGAAGAAGGCATTAGATCTCCTGCAACTGGAGTCACAAAGGGTTCTGAGCCACCACATGGGTGCTGGAAATTGAACTTGGGTCCCCTGGAAAAGCAAAGGTGCTCTTAAATGCTGAGTATCCAGCCCCGTATTATTGATTAGAAGCTCATTTATCTATCTAGGAGTACTTGCTCTCTATATCCTGGCTCTCCCTGATTTTAGTGGACAATGTAATACTGCTGATATGGACAGCATTGTGTAGCAGCCATTAGCTCTCACCCTGATTTTTACTGAGATTTAAGCCCACTGCTTCCCCTTCCGCTACTCGGGCAGCTACCATTTCATTCTGCATCTACAAACCATGCAGTATTTCTTCCTATGAATGGCTCACTTTACTTAACATAATGTCTTCAAGGTTTATCTGTGTCATCGAAAACTAATATTTCCTTCTTTAATGTTCAGTGCTGACTAGAATTGCACTGTGTTTATAGTGCATGTTATAGTACATGTTCTTTTTAATACACATATGTGTTGTTATACATGTAGCTTGTTTTCATCTCATGTCTATGCACATAATGGTGTCACAAACATGGAAGTACTAATAATTTTCTGAAATCTTGATTTTGATCCTTTTTATATGCATAAAGAAGATAATACTTACCTGGTAGGGGAGATACCATGATCACAGAGGTGGTTTTCCCAGGGTGGAGCTTATCCATTTCATTATGGATGTGCTGACCCCTGTGATTTCTACAAATGTGAGAAACTCAACTGCATAATTTGTGGTAGTGGGGAACTGCGCTCACAATCTCTCCTGAAATAAAAAAGAAGATCATGTGGTAGTTCTTGTGTACGGAATTCCATGCTGTTTTCCATAGTGACTGCATAATTTTGCATTGCATTCCTGACACCAGCGTACAAGATCTAATTTCTCCACGTTCTTTATGACATTTGTTGCCTTTTTGTATGTATGTGTGTATATATGTGATATATGTGTACATGCACAGGTGTGTGCATGGAAGCCAGAGGTTGATGCTGACTATTGTCCTAAATCATCCTACACTTTATTCTTTGAGATAGGGTCTCTCACTGAAACTTGGGCTTGTCAGCTTGGCTAGACTGACTGTTTAACAACTATACCCCATGCCCTTATCTCTATATCTCTACATGCCTAGTGCTGGGATTATAAGGTCCCACCCTTTGCTCTTCATGGGTGTTGAGGATTGAACTCAGTTCCTTATGCTGTGTGGCAAGCACTTTACCAATTTATCCATCTTCTCAGCCGCCTACCCCACCCTTTTTTTCCAGTGCTGGCCATTATAACAGGTATGAATTGTTATGTTTGATTTGATTGTTTTGATTTGCATTTCCCGGATCATGGTGGCACTGAGAACTTTCAATGTGTGTGTTGGCTTTCTGTATGTCTTCTAGGCACTGGATTATGACTTTTTCACTTTTTACTATTGAGTTGTAGAGGTCCTTTATATATTTGTTCAGGGAATTAACTCTTTGTCAGATATGTGTTTTGCATATATTTTATTCTGCTCTCTAGTCCAGCTTGCACTCTACTGGTATGTTTTGCTATGCAGAATTTTATAATTTGATATAGTCCAAATTGTTAATTAGACAAAAATAATATTGAGGTCAGGAATCAGACATGTTAGTAATAGCAAAAATAACACCAGAGTCCTTGAGAACTTACAATCCACAATTAGGCTACAGGTTCTGTTTCCATTGACAAAAATCATATTTCTTCACCATGTACTGCAGAGCTCAGATTAATCAACACTTATTTTTGTTGAATTGATGCCTATGACTAAAAGTCAGGTACTCAGATATTTCCTGCAAGGTTGAAAAATTTGTTATAATAATATTAGGCCTGACTTGTAGACCAAGGTTAAATATTTGGTATGGGAAAACTCATTGCTAGAATATGGAAGGAAAAAATGTTTGCATGAATTTGATAGGTGTTTGTCATGGAAGGCTGGTTCTATATATACACTTCATGATAATTAACTCACTGGCCTATTTAATAACTTCAGATAGCCCAGCTCTTTACAAAGGACCTAATTTTTCTATTCATTAAGAAAATATCAAAAGACCTAATTTGCAGAAGTGACACTCTACATATGAAGAAAATTGGTTTTCTGAGAAACTATCAACATTTAAAACTTAAAATAGAGTTTTACTGTGATCTTTAGGTGTTCTATTAATCAATGGCTGAATGGAAACACATACATTTTGTCCCTAATTATTTTAGAAATATTGTCAAATGCTTTTATATATAAGTCAACACTCTACATAATTAAAATATGATTTTTTATGAGGTGTGATTATTCTTTTTTATTTAAATTAGAAAAAATCTTGTTTTACATGTCAATCCCACTCCCCTTTCCTTCCTCTCCTTCTCTGCCCCCCCCCACTCCCTATCCCATCCCATTTCTGCTCCCCAGGGAGGCTGAAGCCTTCCATGGGGGATCTTAAAAGTCTGTCATATCATTTGGAGCAGGGCCCTCCCCTGTAATCTAGGCTGAGAGAGTATCCCTTTATGTGGAGTGGGCTCCGAAAGTTCATTCGTGTACTAGGGATAAATACTGATCAACTGCCAGAGGCCCCATAAATTTCGCAGATCCAAATAGACACCCGCGTTCAGGGGGTCTGGATCAGTCCTATGCTGGATTCCCAGCTATCAATATGGGGTCCATGAGCTCCGACTTGTTCAGGTCAGCTCTTTCTGTAGGTTTCACCAGCCTGGACTTGACTCCTTTGCTTACCACTCCTCCCTCTCTGAAACTGGATTCCAGAGTTCAGCTCAGTGTTTAATTGTGGATGTCTGTTTTTGCTTCCATCAGTTACTGGATGAAGGCTCTAGGATGGCATATAAGGTAGTCATCAATCTCATTATTGGGGAAGGGCATTTAAGGTAGCATTTCCACTATTGCTTAGATTGCTAGTTGGGGTCATCCATGTAGATCCATGGACATTTCCCCAGTGCCAGATTTCTCTTTAAACGTATAATGGCTCCCTCTATTTTGGTATCTCTTATCTTGTTCTCCTCTATAACTCCCCTGACTAAATCTTCCTGCTCCCTCATGTCCTCCCCTCCCCCACATCTCCCCTTCTCTTTCTCCTAACTCCTTCTCCCCTCCCCCATGCTTCCAATTAGCTCAGGAGATCTTGTCCCTCTCTCCTTCTCCAGGAGACCATGTATTTCTAGGATCCTCCTTCCTTCCTAACTTCTCTGGCAGTGTGGATTGTAGGCTGGTAACCCTTTGCTCTTTGTTTAAAATCCATATGTGAGTGAGTGCATACCATGTTTTTCTTTTTGTGACTGGGTTACCTCACTGAGGATGGTTTCTTCTAGTTTCATCCATTTGCCTGGGAATTTCGAGATTCCATTGAGTAGTACTCCATTGTGTAAAAGTACCACATTTCCTTTTTCCATTCTTTAGTTGCTTCCAGGTTCTGGCTATTACAAATAATGCTGCTATTAACATAGTTGAACAGATGTCCTTGTTATATGAATGTGCATCCTTTGGGTGTATGCCTAAGAGAGGAATTGCTGGATCTTTTTGTAGACTGATTTCTATTTGCCTGAGGAACCATCATACTGATTTCGAAAGTGCTGTACAAGTTGGCACTTCCACCACCAGCGGAGGAGTGTTCCACTTCCCTACATCCTCTCCAGCATAAACTGTCATTGGAGTTTTTGATTTTAGCCATTCTGACAGGAACAAGATGGTATCTCAGAGTTGTTTTGATTTGCTTTTCCCTGATGGTTAAGGATGTTAAGCACTTTCTTAAGTGTCTTTCAGCCATGTTAGATTCTTCTGTTGAGGATTCTCTATTTAGTTATGCACCCCAGTTTTTAATTGGATTATTTGGTGTTTTGGTGACTAGCTTCTTGAGTTCTTTGTATATTTTGGAAATCAGTCCTCTCTCAGATGTGGGATTGGTAAATATCTTTTCCCATTCTGTGGGCTGCTGTTTTGTCTTGTTGACTGAGACCCTTGCCTTACAGAAGCTTCTCAGTTTCAGGAGGTCCACTTTATTAATTGTCTGTGCTACTGGTATTATGTTCAGGAAGAGGTCTCCTGTAACAAATATTTCCAGGGAACCTCCTACTTTCTCTTCTAAGAGGTTCAGTGAGGCTGGATTTATATTGAGGTCTTTGATCCATTTGGACTTAAGTTTTGTGCATGGCAATAGACATGGATCTATCTGCAGTCTTCTATATGCCAGCATCCAGTTATGCCAGCACCATTAATTGAAGATGCGTTCTTTTTTCCATTGTATAGTTTTAGCTTCTTGGCCAAAAATTAGGTATTCATAGGTGTGTGGGTCCATACCAGGGTTTTCAGTTCACTTCCATTGCTCTACCTGTCTATTTTTGTGCCAATACCAAGCTGTTTTCAAGGACTACAGCTCTATAATAGAGCTTGAAGTCAGGGATAGTGATTTCTCTGGAAGTTCCTTTATTGTACAGGGTTGTTTTGGCTATCCTAGGTCTTTTGTTTTTCCATATAAAGTTGAATATTGTTCTTTCAAGGTCTGTGAAGAATTGTAGTGGGATTTTGATGGAGATTGCCTTGCATCTATAGATTGCTTTTGGCAAGATTACCATTTTTACTATGTTGATCCTACCTATCCGAGAGCATGGGATATATTTCCATTTACAGGTATCTTCTTTAGTTTCTTTCTTTAAAGACTCAAAGTTCTTGCTATACAGGACTTTCACTTGTTTGATTAGTGTTACCCCAAGCTATTTTAAGTTGTTTGTGGCAATTTTAAAGGATATTTTAAGTTGTTTGTGGAGATGTTTCTCTGATTTCTTTCTCAGCCCATTTATCATCTGTATATAGTACGGTTACTGATTTTTTGAGGTAATCTTGTATCCTGTCACTTTGCTGAAGGTGTTTATTAGCTTTAGGAGTTCCCTGGTAGAAATTTTCAGGTCACTTACATAAACTATCATATCATCTGCAAATAGTGAAAGTTTGACATCTTCCTTTCCAATTTGTATACCTGTTATCTCCTTTTGTTGACTTATTGCTTTAAGCTAGAACCTCAAGTACAATATTGAAGAGGTATGGAGAGAGTAGACAGTCTTGTTTTGTTCCTGATTTTAGAGGATTCACATTGAGTTTCTCTCCGTTTAGTTTCATGTTAACTGTTGGTTTACTGTAGGTTTTTTTTTTTTTTTTTGCATCTAGTGATATGATCATGTGATTTTTATTTTTCAGTCTGTTTATATGGTGGATTACATTGATGGATTTTCATATGTTGAACCATCCTTGCATCACTGGGATGATGGCTACTTGATCATGGTGGATAATTCTCTGAGTGTTCTTGGATTCGATTTGCCAGTATTTTATTGAATATTTTTTCATCAATGTTCATGACAGATATTAGTCTGTAGTTCTCTTTCTTACTTGTGTCTTTGTCTGTCTTAGGTACTGAGGTTATTGAAGCCTTGTAAAAAGAGTTTGGCAATGGCCCTTCTGCTTCTATTGTGTGGAATAGTTTGAGGACAATTGATATTAGATGTTCTTTGAATTTCTGGTAGAATTCTGCACTGAAACCTTCTGGCCCTGGGCTCTTTTTGGTTTGGAATCTTTTGATGACTGCTTCTATTTCATTAGGGGTTATAGATCTATTTAAATTGTTTATATGTTCTTGATTTAATTTAGATAAGTGATATCTATCCACAAAATTGTCCATTTCCTTTAGAGTTTTGAATTTTGTAGAGTACAAGCTTTCAAAGTATGACCTAATGATTCTGTGGATTTCTTCAGTGTCTGTTGTTACGTCTCC